ATGTACACACACACGTGACCATAACAACACCACTATGTACACACACACGTGACCATAACAACACCACTATGTACACACACACGTGACCATAACAACACCACTATGTACACACACACGTGACCATAACAACACCACTATGTACACACACACGTGACCATAACAACACCACTATGTACACACACACGTGACCATAACAACACCACTATGTACACACACACGTGACCATAACAACACCACTATGTACACACACACGTGACCATAACAACACCACTATGTACACACACACGTGACCATAACAACACCACTATGTACACACACACGTGACCATAACAACACCACTATGTACACACACACGTGACCATAACAACACCACTATGTACACACACACGTGACCATAACAACACCACTATGTACACACACACACGTGACCATAACAACACCACTATGTACACACACACGTGACCATAACAACACCACTATGTACACACACACGTGACCATAACAACACCACTATGTACACACACACGTGACCATAACAACACCACTATGTACACACACACGTGACCATAACAACACCACTATGTACACACACACGTGACCATAACAACACCACTATGTACACACACACGTGACCATAACAACACCACACATGTGACACACACACTATGTACCACAACAACCATAACAACACCACTATGTACACACACACGTGACCATAACAACACCACTATGTACACACACACGTGACCATAACAACACCACTATGTACACACACACGTGACCATAACAACACCACTATGTACACCACACACACACGTGACCATAACAACACCACTATGTACACACACACGTGACCATAACAACACCACTATGTACACACACACGTGACCATAACAACACCACTATGTACACACACACGTGACCATAACAACACCACTATGTACACACACACGTGACCATAACAACACCACTATGTACACACACACGTGACCATAACAACACCACTATGTACACACACACGTGACCATAACAACACCACTATGTACACACACACGTGACCATAACAACACCACTATGTACACACACACGTGACCATAACAACACCACTATGTACACACACACGTGACCATAACAACACCACTATGTACACACACACGTGACCATAACAACACCACTATGTACACACACACGTGACCATAACAACACCACTATGTACACACACACGTGACCATAACAACACCACTATGTACACACACACACGTGACCATAACAACACCACTATGTACACACACACGTGACCATAACAACACCACTATGTACACACACACGTGACCATAACAACACCACTATGTACACACACACGTGACCATAACACACCACTATGTACACACACACGTGACCATAACAACACCACTATGTACACACACACGTGACCATAACAACACCACTATGTACACACACACGTGACCATAACAACACCACTATGTACACACACATGTGACCATAACAACACCACTATGTACACACACACGTGACCATAACAACACCACTATGTACACACACACGTGACCATAACAACACCACTATGTACACACACACGTGACCATAACAACACCACTATGTACACACACACGTGACCATAACAACACCACTATGTACACACACACGTGACCATAACAACACCACTATGTACACACACACGTGACCATAACAACACCACTATGTACACACACACGTGACCATAACAACACCACTATGTACACACACACGTGACCATAACAACACCACTATGTACACACACACGTGACCATAACAACACCACTATGTACACACACACGTGACCATAACAACACCACTATGTACACACACACGTGACCATAACAACACCACTATGTACACACACACGTGACCATAACAACACCACTATGTACACACACATGTGACCATAACAACACCACTATGTACACACACATGTGACCATAACAACACCACTATGTACACACACACACGTGACCATAACAACACCACTATGTACACACACACGTGACCATAACAACACCACTATGTACACACACACGTGACCATAACACCACTATGTACACACACACGTGACCATAACAACACCACTATGTACACACACACGTGACCATAACACACCACTATGTACACACACACGTGACCATAACAACACCACTATGTACACACACACGTGACCATAACAACACCACTATGTACACACACACACGTGACCATAACAACACCACTATGTTCACACACACGTGACCATAACAACACCACTATGTACACACACACGTGACCATAACAACACCACTATGTACACACACACGTGACCATAACACCACTATGTACACACACACGTGACCATAACCACACCACTATGTACACACACACGTGACCATAACAACACCACTATGTACACACACACGTGACCATAACAACACCACTATGTACACACACACGTGACCATAACAACACCACTATGTACACACACACGTGACCATAACACCACTATGTACACACACACGTGACCATAACAACACCACTATGTACACACACACGTGACCATAACAACACCACTATGTACACACACACGTGACCATAACAACACCACTATGTACACACACATGTGACCATAACACCACTATGTACACACACACGTGACCATAACAACACCACTATGTAGACACACATGTGACCATAACAACACCACTATGTACACACACATGTGACCATAACAACACCACTATGTACACACACGCGTGACCATAACACCACTATGTACACACACACACGTGACCATAACAACACCACTATGTACACACACACGTGACCATAACAACACCACTATGTACACACACATGTGACCATAACAACACCACTATGTACACACACACGTGACCATAACAACACCACTATGTACACACACACGTGACCATAACAACACCACTATGTACACACACACGTGACCATAACAACACCACTATGTACACACACACGTGACCATAACAACACCACTATGTACACACACACGTGACCATAACAACACCACTATGTAGATACACATGTGACCATAACAACACCACTATGTACACACACACGTGACCATAACAACACCACTATTTACACACACATGTGACCATAACAACACCACTATGTACACACACACGTGACCATAACAACACCACTATGTACACACACACGTGACCATAACACCACTATGTACACACACACGTGACCATAACAACACCACTATGTACACACACACGTGACCATAACAACACCACTATGTACACACACACACGTGACCATAACAACACCACTATGTACACACACACGTGACCATAACAACACCACTATGTACACACACATGTGACCATAACAACACCACTATGTACACACACGCGTGACCATAACACCACTATGTACACACACACGTGACCATAACAGCACCACTATGTACACACACACGTGACCTTAACAACACCACTATGTACACACACACGTGACCATAACAACACCACTATGTACACACACATGTGACCATAACAACACCACTATGTACACACACACGTGACCATAACAACACCACTATGTACACACACACGTGACCATAACAACACCACTATGGACACACACACGTGACCATAACAACACCACTATGTACACACACACGTGACCATAACAACACCACTATGTACACACACACGTGACCATAACAACACCACTATGTAGATACACATGTGACCATAACAACACCACTATGTACACACACACGTGACCATAACAACACCACTATTTACACACACATGTGACCATAACAACACCACTATGTACACACACATGTGACCATAACAACACCACTATGTACACACACATGTGACCATAACAACACCACTATGTACACACACATGTGACCATAACAACACCACTATGTACACACACACGTGACCATAACACCACTATGTACACACACACGTGACCATAACAACACCACTATGTACAAACTTATTTTTACTTATTATTACATCTTGACAATCTTTTTACCACCAACTGGACACACAATGACACACAATGACACACAATGACACACAATGACACACAATGACACACGATGACACACGATGACACACAATGACACACAATGATACACAATGACACACAATGACACTCAATGACACACAATGACGCACAATGACACACGATGACACACAATGACACTCAATGACACACAATGACGCACAATGACACACGATGACACACAATGACACACAATGACACACAATGACACACAATGACACTCAATGACACACAATGACGCACAATGACACTCAATGACACACAATGACGCACAATGACACACGATGACACACAATGACACACAATGACACACAATGACACACAATGACACACAATGACACTCAATGACACACAATGACGCACAATGACACACGATGACACACAATGACACACAATGACACACAACTTTCACATAAACATAAACTCATAATGAAGAGTTTACAGAAATAAAATTACTCCTGAAATAGATCTTCAGAATTAAAAAAGATCCTCTCTGCGCTCCAAGAAGTAGTTACACAAACACAAAAAGATCCATTTCCTCGTTAGGGCTCGTTCTGGTCCCTCTGATGCAGCTTTGAAACACTTCTATGGCCGTTATTCTGAGTTTGCTGAAACACTGGACAACAATCGGATCATTTAGATGTTGTAATGTTTTGGCGTTTTGAATGAATGGATGAACGTTTATTTGAACATGGAATAAAAACAACAGAATAAGACCTAAAGAAAACAAACAACAATAAAAACAAGACAAAAATGAAATAAATAAAAAGTAGAAGAAGTCAGAGTGTATTACATCCCACCCTGTGTTCATTCAACATGTTGGAATTACTTCATATTTGTGTTCAGCGATTATAAAGATGAAATAATGTATGAAATCCACATGTTCTGCTCTTCTGCCTCAGTCCTGCCCCTGCTGCTGCTGCTGCTGCTGCTGCCCCTGCTGCTGCCCCTGCTGCCGCCGCCGCCCCGGGGCAAACTGTCGGCCAGCGCAGGCGTCTGTACAGCGCCGTCCCGGGGCGGGTCTTTGTGGCCACACGCTCTCACTCGGCTCAGGGCGAGAGGGAGATCGGCTTCAGCAAAGGAGACCGAGTCAAAGGTCAGTCTGTCACGGCCTGAGAGTTGCATGTTCTCCCTGTGTCTGTGTAGGTTTCCTCCGGGTGCTCTGGTTTCCCCTACCACTAAAAACATGTATAATAGGTCTGACAGCGCCCCCTGTAGGCGACCCCAGAGACTAATGCCCACAATCTGTGAAAGGCTCTATATAAATAAACATGACTTACTTACCTCTGTATTCTGTGGTAATGTAACCTTTATTACTCATTTGTTATTATTGTGTGTTTGAAGCCAGTGAACAAAAGCGCCTCTCCTGGTCCTGGACTACATGTAGATGGACGATGCTGCGAAATACTTGTCATTAAAACTAATTTAAAGTACATATAATATTGTTTCTCTTTGTTTTCTGATAGTTCGGCTAAATTCTGCTCATAACATATATTTCAAAATGGTTCCTAATTTAATCAGGGTTGGACTTGTTTGTGGTATAAAAAAAGACATATTTCCTTGGCTTGTCTCAACACGATATGATTTCAGTGACTTTCCGCTAAAGTCCAGTGTTTATAACCAAATACCACAGGTCACAGTCACACATCTGCTCTAAATGTAGAATAAAAACGGGTTGGAATATAATGTAATTTAGCAGTGACATATCTGAGTCCACTGTTTTCTCTTTGGTTCATGCTAATAACGTGTGTGAGGTCCTTATGTCTGACCATCTGCTCAAACCTGTGTCTCTGGCCCTGCTCCAAACTCTCCTTCACCAACTCCAGAAAACACAGGCTGCAGACCAGAGACAATTTACAGATTTTTCACGAATGAAATGCAGTCTGACTCAAATGATCAAAGACACGAAGGCCATGGAGAGACTGACAAATGCAATAACGTTGGAAAAATAAGACTTGTGCATAAAAATTCACTTCAATTCAATGTATTTTTGCAACAGTATCTACCTCTGAGGACTTTACACAGCTGCTGATTCGCCAACACAGATCAGAGAATCAAACTGGGAATGCAACAATAAAAACACATGGGTCCATAAGGGCCGACCAATGTCCATGAATCTTAAAGGTGCAGTGAGCGATGTTGTTAGCTTAGCCATAGCACCAACTCTTAACCACTCCCCCTCCCCTCCCTCTCCACCAAACCAAACATCCAGAATTTTCTTTTCTTTGTCACAACCAGTGTGGGTGGGTCCCGGCTCAAAAGTGTCCAAAATGACGTGCCCTGACATGCTGCAGTACCACCCCAGGCCTGTGGGGGTGGACCCGGAATAAGAATGCTAACATATAGCATCTTCTTACCTCTGGAAAACGTCTTTACAGGATGGTCCAAAAGTGTCTCTTGGCCCAAAGCTCCGTTCCACATGTGAGTCAATGCTGAGTGTTCTGGACCAGTCTAGTTTAGTCGCTGTGGACTTTAGAAGTCTCTCGTTTAAATGAATGGAGCTGCGCCGGCTGACGCATGCACAGATCCGTTTTTTCACATTTTCCAGCCCCCGTGGCCATTTTGAATCACTCCATGAAAGCCCAATTTTTGGCCCATTAGTTAGAACGGCCCAGATAGGCCTGACTATGTCTGTTAATATTTATATATATTTACAGTCTATGTTCACAATTTTTCTGTTCAGTCATTTTAGGTTTTAGAAAATCCGATAACTCCAACAGTCTCTCTCACAGTCTCTCCCACAGTCTCTCCCACAGTCTCTCTCACAGTCTCTCTCACAGTCTCTCTCACAGACTCTCTCACAGTCTCTCCCACAGTCTCTCCCACAGTCTCTCCCACAGTCTCTCTCACAGTCTCTCTCACAGTCTCTCTCACAGACTCTCTCACAGTCTCTCTCACAGTCTCTCTCACAGACTCTCTCACAGTCTCTCTCACAGTCTCTCCCACAGTCTCTCTCACAGTCTCTCTCACAGTCTCTCTCACAGTCTCTCTCACAGTCTCTCTCACAGTCTCTCTCACAGACTCTCTCACAGTCTCTCTCACAGTCTCTCCCACAGTCTCTCTCACAGTCTCTCTCACAGACTCTCTCACAGTCTCTCTCACAGTCTCTCTCACAGACTCTCTCACAGTCTCTCTCACAGTCTCTCTCACAGTCTCTCTCACAGTCTCTCCCACAGTCTCTCTCACAGTCTCTCTCACAGTCTCTCTCACAGTCTCTCTCACAGACTCTCCCACAGTCTCTCTCACAGTCTCTCCCACAGTCTCTCCCACAGTCTCTCTCACAGTCTCTCTCACAGTCTCTCTCACAGACTCTCTCACAGTCTCTCTCACAGTCTCTCTCACAGACTCTCTCACAGTCTCTCTCACAGTCTCTCCCACAGTCTCTCTCACAGTCTCTCTCACAGTCTCTCTCACAGTCTCTCTCACAGTCTCTCTCACAGTCTCTCTCACAGACTCTCTCACAGTCTCTCTCACAGTCTCTCCCACAGTCTCTCTCACAGTCTCTCTCACAGACTCTCTCACAGTCTCTCTCACAGTCTCTCTCACAGACTCTCTCACAGTCTCTCTCACAGTCTCTCCCACAGTCTCTCTCACAGTCTCTCCCACAGTCTCTCTCACAGTCTCTCTCACAGTCTCTCTCACAGTCTCTCTCACAGACTCTCTCACAGTCTCTCTCACAGTCTCTCCCACAGTCTCTCTCTCAGTCTCTCTCACAGTCTCTCTCACAGTCTCTCTCACAGACTCTCTCACAGTCTCTCTCACAGTCTCTCTCACAGACTCTCTCACAGTCTCTCTCACAGTCTCTCCCACAGTCTCTCTCACAGTCTCTCCCACAGTCTCTCTCTCAGTCTCTCCCACGGTCTCTCCCACAGTCTCTCTCACAGACTCTCTCACGGTCTCTCTCACAGTCTCTCCCACGGTCTCTCTCACAGTCTCTCTCTCAGTCTCTCTCACAGTCTCTCTCACAGTCTCTCTCACAGTCTCTCCCACAGTCTCTCTCTCAGTCTCTCCCACAGTCTCTCTCACAGTCTCTCCCACGGTCTCTCTCACAGTCTCTCTCACAGTCTCTCTCACAGACTCTCTCACAGTCTCTCTCACAGTCTCTCCCACAGTCTCTCTCACAGACTCTCTCACAGTCTCTCCCACGGTCTCTCTCACAGTCTCTCTCACAGTCTCTCTCACAGACTCTCTCACAGTCTCTCTCACAGTCTCTCCCACAGTCTCTCCCACAGTCTCTCTCACAGTCTCTCCCACGGTCTCTCTCACAGTCTCTCTCACAGTCTCTCTCACAGTCTCTCTCACAGTCTCTCTCACAGTCTCTCCCACAGTCTCTCTCACAGTCTCTCTCACAGTCTCTCCCACGGTCTCTCTCACAGTCTCTCTCACAGTCTCTCTCACAGTCTCTCCCACAGTCTCTCTCACAGTCTCTCTCACAGTCTCTCCCACGGTCTCTCTCACAGTCTCTCTCACAGTCTCTGTCACAGTCTCTCTCAGTCTCTCCCACGGTCTCTCTCACAGTCTCTCTCACAGTCTCTCCCACAGTCTCTCTCACAGACTCTCTCACAGTCTCTCTCACAGTCTCTCCCACAGTCTCTCTCACAGTCTCTCTCACAGTCTCTCCCACAGTCTCTCTCACAGACTCTCTCACGGTCTCTCCCACAGTCTCTCTCACAGTCTCTCCCACAGTCTCTCTCACAGTCTCTCCCACAGTCTCTCTCACAGTCTCTCTCACAGTCTCTCCCACAGTCTCTCTCACAGTCTCTCCCACGGTCTCTCTCACAGTCTCTCTCACAGTCTCTGTCACAGTCTCTCTCACAGTCTCTCCCACGGTCTCTCTCACAGTCTCTCTCACAGTCTCTCTCACAGACTCTCTCAGTCTCTCTCACAGTCTCTCTCACAGTCTCTCTCTCAGTCTCTCTCACAGTCTCTCTCACAGTCTCTCTCACAGTCTCTGTCACAGTCTCTCTCACAGTCTCTCCCACGGTCTCTCTCTCAGTCTCTCTCACAGTCTCTCTCACAGTCTCTCCCACAGTCTCTCTCACAGTCTCTCCCACAGTCTCTCTCACAGTCTCTCCCACAGTCTCTCCCACAGTCTCTCTCACAGTCTCTCCCACAGTCTCTCTCACAGTCTCTCCCACGGTCTCTCTCACAGTCTCTCTCACAGTCTCTGTCACAGTCTCTCTCACAGTCTCTCCCACAGTCTCTCTCACAGTCTCTCTCACAGTCTCTCTCACAGACTCTCTCACAGTCTCTCCCACAGTCTCTCTCACAGTCTCTCTCACAGTCTCTCCCACAGTCTCTCTCACAGACTCTCTCACAGACTCTCTCACAGACTCTCTCACAGTCTCTCTCACAGTCTCTCCCACAGTCTCTCCCACAGTCTCTCTCACAGACTCTCTCACAGTCTCTCTCACAGTCTCTCCCACAGACTCTCTCACAGACTCTCTCACAGTCTCTCTCACAGTCTCTCCCACAGTCTCTCTCACAGACTCTCTCACAGTCTCTCTCACAGTCTCTCTCACAGACTCTCACGGTCTCTCCCACGGTCTCTCTCACAGTCTCTCTCACAGTCTCTCTCACAGTCTCTCTCACGGTCTCTCTCACAGTCTCTCTAACAGACTCTCACAGTCTCTCTCACGGTCTCTCTCACAGTCTCTCTCACAGACTCTCACAGTCTCTCTCACGGTCTCTCTCACAGTCTCTCTCACAGTCTCTCTCACAGACTCTCTCACGGTCTCTCTCACAGACTCTCACAGTCTCTCTCACGGTCTCTCTCACAGTCTCTCTCACAGTCTCTCTCACAGTCTCTCTCACAGACTCTCTCACAGACTCTCACAGTCTCTCTCACAGTCTCTCTCACAGTCTCTCTCATGGTCTCTCTCACAGTCTCTCTCACAGTCTCTCTCACAGTCTCTCTCACGGTCTCTCTCACAGTCTCTCTCACGGTCTCTCTCACAGTCTCTCTCACGGTCTCTCTCACAGTCTCTCTCACAGTCTCTCTCACAGTCTCTCTCACAGTCTCTCTCACAGACTCTCTCACGGTCTCTCTCACAGACTCTCACAGTCTCTCTCACGGTCTCTCTCACAGTCTCTCTCACGGTCTCTCTCACAGTCTC